ATTGCTATGCCGAACGTAGAAACGAGCAATGGCCCGAGCGCGACCGCCGCTGAAATCGTAGCTTTTGTTGACCTTTAATACATTTACTTTACAGCTTGAACACGTACGTCCCGTACTTTGTTATGAGGCGCTAGAGAGGATCTGCACGTTGCGGGGGTGAACGAGATTTGTGTTTTGAGGGAGAGTAAATGTCGGTTCTGCCTCCAATTCTTATATATGGCAACTGTTTATGCAAAAGGAAATAAATTCAGTTCTGAAGTAGTCCTAACCGCACAACAGAGATCGTTTTGATCGCCCACCAGCTGTTAATATGATACTAAAATCAATATAAAACGCGGCCCACAACTGATTGAAGCCGAATTCTAGGCCCAAACTTTGACAGAAACTATTCCTCAATCATCGCTGGTTGGCCGTCTAATTATTATCAAAAAAAAAAAGTAGGGGATCTAAGCTTCTAAAACGTGCCAGAATCTTTTGTGTAGCCATTACCATTATCGAGTTATGACCAAACAAAGAGAACGTCAATCTGGCGGCCCTCAACTGGTATTTTTTCCTTACTACAGCAAATCTTTTGCAAATCCTTGTAGCTCAAGTAGAAAGGGCGAATCCGCCTCGTCCAACACACAAAAATAATGAAAGGGGGCATTTTGCCCCCATTCGTGGGTGACACGAGTGGTACTCAAGAATACGCCCTCAAAATGCCCCCCTTTTGCCACGAAAGGGTTAAAATATATATATATATAGATAAAAAGAAAATATTAGTTAAAACAGAGTAAAAAAATTACCGGGCATCTTCGCTCGAATAGAAGGGAAAACCTTTTCAACAAAAAACTTGGATAATGGTTCTTGTCGTTGACACGCTCTTAGTAATCATAGTCCCTTTTGGGCGATTAATAGAGCTACAAAGCGCCTCGACCTTTCCACAATAGGCCATATCCCAGTCTTACCATCAAAATGTTGTTTTCTATGGAAATTGTAGCGCGGACGCGCCACAGCTGGCAGAAACATAACTTTTCCAATGTAGCGCCACGACATTCGACATTTTCTCCACGCAGCGCAGCATCATCACGCACGCAGCATCACCAAGACGCTTGCAAGAGGGTGGTGATCTCGTTGCTGCAGCCGTCGCCCCAGATCTTTGCGCTGTTCGACAACGCATTGACCCTGAACGCTGGTGAGGTGATGTATCATGGTCCCCGTGACGAAGCGCTGCCGTATTTCGAGAGTTTGGGTTTCATTGTTCGCCACACCGTGACACGGCGAACTTTTGCTGGATCTTGGCAAGAAGCAGCAAGGGAAGTATCAAGACACGCTACCTGACGGTATGGTGAGGCGCCCGTGTTCGCCTGTTGCGTTTGGACAACGCTTTCAGCACTTGGACATTTTTGAAATACGCTTGCTCGTCTTGATGAGCCATGGAAAGATGATTTAGCTTCTTTTGCGTCCGGGTTCATGAAGTTTACACCTGCGTTTCAGCAGACCTGCAATCGCAGTGACAAGGCGGCAAATGGTGCTTGCGATTCAAAACAAGTTCCTTATTCGCCACCGTGCCAGACCCGTACAACCCCATAAAATTGCTCACGCTGCTCAACGGCATCAGCGGGTACGCACGCTCGGATCCATCTCGGCACTCATGGGGTCCACGGGAGCCGGCAGGAAGACGCACCTTATCCCTGCTCAACGGCCACCCAGCCGCCGACCTCGCCATCTGCCAGTCCCAGGCTACTACGAGTAGAAGGACATCCACAGCGAGTCACGTTAATCGCCCACGTTTCCGCTGCTGTTTGTGTAAGTATCACCGGGTCAAAAAAAACTGCTTGTTCTGTGTGCTCCGTAGTCCGCGAGACGCTCACATTCAACGTGTTCCTGCGCTACGTGCCCGACAACAAGAAGTACGACTCGGGTTGATGTGTCATTGGAGCTACTGAACTTGCAGGAGGTTACGGACGAGATCATGTGTGGCAGTCCGACGGAACGTATGAAGCGCCTGAAGATCGGCGTGGAGCTGGCGGCTGACCCCAAGAGTGCTCGTCCTGGAAGATCCTACCAGTGGCTTAGTTGCTCCCAGTGGCTCTCACCAAAGGTATTCTACCTTATCGAATGACTTTTGCTGCTCAAGCGCAGCGATGATAGGGTACTTTACGGCAACATGGGTAAACACTGCCGCAATATCGTGGACTACATCAAGAGCATCCCTGGTGTGGCCTCTTGCAAAGGGCTACAACCCTGCAACGTGGATTCTTC